GAAAACAAGTTACAAAAGCTTTCTTAGATAAAATACATATTTTAGACGTATTTCAAATATTTAAGAATCAAGGTTATGGGGCAAGGAGATGGCTTAAAGGTTAATTAAGAGCACTGGCTGCTTCTTTAGAAGACCCAGGTTTGATTCCTAGCACCCTTACGGTGGCTTACAACCACTCGTCATTCCAGAGGACCGAGACTTGCTTCTGGCCTCTGTGAGCACCAAACACACCATGGGACACAGACACTCATGCAGGCAAAACACCCACACACAATAAAAACCCAAGCCAGGCCAGGACCATTCGGTGTATTAAAAACAAAACAATCTCGGTCTAGTGAGGTGGCCGAGGAGTATGGGACTGGCTGCTAAGCTGGCAACCCAAGTCAATCCTAGAGCCACACGGTGGCAGGAGAGAACAGACGCCCAAAAGTTGTCCTCCCACTGTCACATGATGGACTGGGGACAGCTACCCGTGTGAGATTATGGATTTAATGCCAGCAATGGAAGCAAAAAACTCAGAAGACACTGGCCAACAGAAATGAAGTTATATTGATCAATGATGGCGATATCATAGAAAGTGTCACTTATTTTTAGTAATGAAATATGGCAGAACTTCTTAAGCCTCACCGTTACCACCTCCACAAACTTTCACTACATGCTCAGTGACAAGCTTAGCAATGCCCTTACTGTAAGATGCCCACAGCATCCCACCTGATCCTCCAAATACGCCTGTGTATGACTGTGCCCATGTTATAAACAGGGACACTGAGCCACGCAGCCTGACTTAGGTCCTGAGGGGCAGAGCTGAGCCTTGAACTCAGTTATGTGAGGTCCCAAACTGTCCTATCCCATCCTTCACTTATGGCTACGCCTGTAGTTGGAGAGCTTTGTTTTTTCTGGGTCCCACCAAGTCCCGCCAGTCCCGGAGCCCATTTATAAAACAAACACACAGACGCTTATATTATTTAAACTGCTTGGCCATTAGTTCAGGCCTATCATTGTCTAGCTCTTACTCTTATATTTAGCTCATTTTTATTAATCTATACTTTGCCACGTGGCTCATGGCTTATTGGTACCTTACATCTTGTTTGTCTTGGCAGCGGCTCCAGGCAATCTCCCTCTCTGTTTTCCTGTTAGTCCTGTCTATATTTCCTGTCTGGCTACTGGCCAATCAGTGTTTATTTATACAGAGCAATATCCACAGCATATGCCATCATTAACAACCATGAGAAAGAACCCAAACTAGCCACCGAAGTCACAAGTAGAACCAACTGAACAGGCAGTTGACACTTCCTCGTTCAAATACAGAGGTAGGCTAGCACCAGGATGTGCCTTTGCAGTTCCAGAGCACAGAGGAAATGGGAACCCGACAACAATTATAAACGTTTTATGGCACCAAAGCCAAAGCCAGAGTCCCTAAACTGAACAGAAAACCCAGCCTCTGCTCTGAACTGAATTCAAAGAACTGCATAGAAAGAGATAATTTATATCCATAAAACTTATGTTAAAAACTTAGTTATTTTTTAAAGATTTACTTGAACCTGGGTCCTCTGGAAGAGCAGCAGTGTTCTTAATGGCTAGGCCATCTCTCTAGCACTCAATCACTTTTAATTTTATTTACTGTGGATGTGTACGGTGTGTGTGCCTGTGTGTGCCATGTAAATATATGGAGAGCAGAAGAGTTTGTTTGTTTTTTTAAGATAGAGTCTTACTGTGCGGCCAGGTCTAGAACTCACAGAGATCTAACCGCCTTTGCCTCTCAACGTTGGGACTAAAGGTATGCGATACCACACTCAACAACAGACTGAGGTCTTTGGGAAGTATCTCTAAAGTAGGAGCTCTAGAAATAAAAGTTGTGTTTTGGCTTGTTCCTTTTTAAAGATCACAATCAAACTCCACAGATCTGCTAGGAGAAGTGCCTGGATAACACGTCCAGAAGGTTATCTGGGGGGCATTATGCAGTTCCCCAGAGCCGAGTCTCCCCCTCCACCATCTACTAAGCGAAGCTCTGCCGCCCTGGCTCACCTGCTGAAAGCGTTCCTCGGGGGGAGCAGCAGGGGGATCACGGTGTTGCTCAGGCACTCACAGAGCGGGCAGAGGAACTCGCCGTTCTCCACGTCATAGCTGGTGTGCAGGCGCAGCCGCTGCTGCCTCCGCTGCTCCTTAGCTTGGACGGAGTCGAAATACCTGCACAGTTAGAGAAGGGGGTCAGCACCCACGGAGCCACGGCGGCGGCGGGAGTGCAGGCAGCCGCAGTCGGGGTCATGTTTCTCTCAAACAATTAAAAACCTGAACTCAACCGAACTGTCTCAGACACAGGCAGCTTGACCTGAAGAGCAATTTTACTCTTCAAAGTGGATTTGGAGTCTTAACACAGAAACATCATCATCATCATCACCACCACCAACAACAAAACCTGACTGCTCTAATAAGCTTTCAAGAGTGGGAAGAGTCTCTTCTCGGTGCTCTCACTGTCTGGCCACTTTCTCAGGGCTGGTGGTCATTTGTCTGGGGTAGCCACACTGACGGAAAGTACAGTGCTGGAATCCCAGTGCTGAGGAGCACAGGAAACACCAGGACAGACAGGGCGAGGGGGCCCCCTTTCGGCAGACAGTTGCTACAGCCTCAGAGCCACAAAGCATGGACTAACTAACTAACACCTTTGGAATCCAGACCTGCTCACCTTGGACCTGAAGAAAGAATGCACTACTCATATCGCTATGGGACTCAGTTTACCCTACTGTACCAAATCTTTCTGTCCTTCCAGCTTGTTACCTAATAGAGATCTGTTCTCTTCTCTGGAGGGATGAAGGAGATTTTGATACAAAGCTACATTAAAATGTATCCGACACTCTAGAAGTTTCTTATTAATCCTTTACATTCATTACAAAGCAAGTACTTATATTAGTCAAATATATAAGAAGTTTGCTAGCATCTTTAGTTCTTTTTATCCCCACCCTCAGAATGAAATGTTCTTTGCTTTAAAAGTCAATTTTGAGCCTTCACATGGCTTCTTTTGAGTAATGTAAGAATATAACTTACCTTTGCCAACAATGGGCATGCATAACGTGCCCACAGCTGCCAGTGTGTGTTCCGCAAGACAGATCAGGGTGCATGAATAATGGATCATATTTTTCTGCATTACAAAACAAACAAAAACAAAACAAAACTCTAAGCATTTATCTTTCCTATGATCAACGTGCGTCCTTAGATTTGTAAAGACCTGGGTGAGGAAATGCTAATTTACTCTGACTTTAGATATCACCAACTTAGGCAAGCCTCTGGTAACTGCAAAACTGAGACTCTTGTAATCTCATCACCTGTGGAAATCAAACAGCCCTGAACTGTGAGGGTGGAAGTGCATTAGGTAGCTGGCCCTCCATCCCCAGGACATCTGTGGTGTCCACTGAAGGCAGACCAAATGTCCAGGGGAACCCTCTATGGGTCCTGACACACCTGCCTTATGTCCTTGTCACTCTCTCCTTACACAGCATCGAAACTGTAACCTAGAGATCCAGTATCTAGGAAGATTCCCCAAGGTCACATGCAAATTCTATGCATTTGAGCAGGGTTTCCCTGCTTAGTACTGTGGATAGAAGCCAGACCCCCATTCCCAGCAAGTGTTCAGCCCCTGAGCTCCGTCCCAGTACTATACCATCTTATATAGGGACCTGAGCATCTATGAGTTTTGATACACACTCCGGATAATAAAGGATCATGATTTAGCTGAAGCTTTGGTTGCCCAGAGACTCCAATTCCCCATCATGCCTCATGCCCTGAGCTTCGAGAAGAAATGCTAAGAAATACGAGACACAGTCTCGTATTATCGCCCTGTCTGGCCTTGAACTCAGAACCACCTCTGGCCTCAGTCTCCGAGTGCAGTGATTACAGATGTGAATCAGGATGTCTGGCATGGAGGCTGCTTGTATGTTTTTGTCAGTGACGCTGGCTTACAATCCAGTACAAAAGCTGGAACTGACCTGGATCCTGGATGAATTTGGTTCTGTCTTTTGACAGCACAGTTGATCTCTGAACAAACGCTGCCAAGACCATTGCCCTGCTCTCCACAGTGACCTCTTGCTCCTCTTGACACAATATGCAGGTGACAAACTGTCTCTGCTCAGGGACCTGGGTCTGTGCAGGGCCCAATGCTGTAAGCGCTGTATCTGAAATCAGAGGGCTGCAATAAAAAGGTTATGACTATACTGAATGAGCCTGGGAAGTGTCTATAATCATTAAATGACAGAGTCCAGGTAGGTACATGTTGAACCCGTAGTCTTTAAACAGGAAGTGGTAGGAGTCTTTCATGTGCTTAAAACCATCTCTAATCTTTAGAGCAATCTGCCTGCAGCACATTCCAGCCTACAGTGTTCATTCTCTCCTGAATGTCAAAGGTTCCCTGTAGAAAATAACGTTCTAGGCGGATACACAAACTACCCAGAGCTAGACATTTCTCTTTTGTGTGTGTATGTGGGGGCCAAAGGTCAACCAGAGGTGGCAGGGCCTCTGACTGGCCTGGGGCTTGCTGATTAGGTTAGGCTGTCTGGCCACTGCCCAAGGGACCTGCCTGTCAATACCTCCCCAGTACTGGGACTACAAGCATGTGCCAGCATTTGGCTTTTTTCTGTGAGTTCTGGGAGCAAACTCAGATTCTTGTTTGTTTGGTACACAGTTTACTAGCTGACCTTGGGCTATTTCCCTGGCCTAGAAGTGAACACCATTTAATGGAGGCCACAAAATTACCCACACTCCCACTCAATTCCGTCAGCATTAAAAGCACACGGAAGAACCAATGGTCAAGTGTTAAAGGCCGTTCTCTTGTCTACCTGCTGTCAAGAGGGGCAGAGGCCGAGGCGTCCAGCTCTATGGTCTGCCGGAAGAGCTCTTTGTTCTCATCAATGAAGTGCCGCTGCATCTCCGACATCTGCGCCATGATCTTCTCCCGGCGCAGTCTAGCAATCTCTGCTTTCCTTTTCCTCTCTGCTTTGTCTTTGTCTCTTGAGCTCTGGAATGATGCTCCATTCAGTTAGAGTCTTAAAGGCCACACTGTCTTTCCCCCTAAGCAAAGCATCTGCACTGTAGGCATTAACTAAGATACATGCCACCATCTTCTTATAGAAATGCAAGAGGCAATCTAAGATGCTAAGGGAAAAAAAAAACTAGAAAATTGCTATAAGTTAGTAAACGCATCTTCTGGAATCTAACCTTTGTGAATAATATCAACTACTGACTTACTGCAGAGAAACTTAATTTGTTCTTACTAACCTACTAAAGTTTTAGTATTATTAGTCTACCTTTTTTTTGGAGATACAGTTTTAATATGTAACAGTCTTGGCTGGCCTGGAACAAGTTATGTAGACTAGGCTAGGCTCAAACTCAGAGCTCTACCTGCTTCTGCTTCTGAGTGCTGGGGCTAATGGAATATGCTGGCATGCCTGGCTCTAGCTTGTTCTTTTGTTGTTGTTTTTTTCCCCAGACAGAGTTTCTCAGCATATCCTTGGCTATCCTGGAACTCACTCTGTAGACCAGGTTGGCCTAGAACTCAGAGATCCACCTGCCTCTGCTTTCCAAGTGCTGGGATTAAAGGCGTGCGCCACCACTGTCTGGCTTAGCTTGCTTTTTCTTACCTCTTCCATTATGGTTCCTTCTGCCTCTGCCACAGGACTGGTGGAGGAACTCTCTCTTATCTTCTTAATTGCATTAAACATCTGAAAAAAAAATCTGTTATCCTGATGAAATGCTATTACAAATAACAAGTATTTAATGTTTCTCACAAGACACAAAGCAATGTGGAAATGTTACCTTTAACAGCCACCTAATCATGTCTTTGTGGACTTCCAGGGAGGGAGCGTTCTGCAACGTCTCCAGCATCGCTAGGATGCTCGGGGAGTTGTTGGGTGCATCACCAGGTTCTAGGAACGAGAAGTAAACGGCGTAAGCACAGCTCACACTGCACAGCACTCACCCCTGCCGAGGAGGATCGGAACTGCTCACCACACCTGCCGCCCATCATCTGACCGCACTCAGACGGTCTTGTGTGTGTCTGGGCGGACCTCCTCTGTTGTTCTTTACCTTATGTTTGGAGACAGTATCTCTCACTGGGCCTGGAGTTCAGTGACTGGCTTGACTAGCGGGCTAACCAGCCCTTGGGACTCATCCCCTGAAACTGACACCTTATAATGATCAGATGATGACTGGACTCAGCGAGGTTTTTTGGTGTGGTTATTGGAAAACAAAAAGCATCGTTGCCAAAGAAGGCAGAAGGCAGGATGAGAACTCATGGGAAATGCGGGTAGAGAGAGAACGCAGAAAGGCTGGTGCCTATGAAGAGCACAGCACATGTGCAGTGGGCAGAGGCAGCTTCTACCTCTGCTCTTACCACCTGCTTGGGCACAAAGGAGGAAACGACATGCCATGACAAACAGGACTGCTGCTTATCTGCAGCACAGCGGCTGCACCTTCATCTGTCTCAGCTAGCAACCGCAGCTCCGCAGTTACCCGCCTGCTTCTCTCCTGGCCTCAGGTCGCAGCCTGGCGGGAATTCTGTTCCCACAGGCACCAGCTCTGATGCTATAGTTAAAGGTAGCTTTAACTAAATCGCTATCGTTCTATTTATAAATAAAACTCGAGATTCAAAGGCTGGGTGAAAACCTGCCAGCTCAGAGAGGCTGAGTAGCACCTAGCTAACCTTGCTGGCGTCTACCAAACAGAGCATCCTTCCACTTCAAATCCCCCTACTCCTTCCGGTGCATCGCTCTACCTCTTCCAGACGCCTCTGATGCTCTAGGATTACTTCCTATAAACTAGTTGCTAACTCAGCCTCCTGACCCAAGGTTAATTTTATTTAATTAATGCAAATGCTAACTCGGGGTTCACAGTGTGAGCAAATATCCAACACAGGACCACTTCTTGGTCCTACCGTTCTCTTGCAGGGCAATGAAATATTCTCACCACCACTTAAAAGAAATGTAGAAGTGACAGAAATAATCCTCTCAACCCAGGAATTCCTAGCTCCCATCCTAGCACGAGTTCACCCAGAAACACCTCAGCAAATGGCTGCTGATGAGCTAGGCAGGTAAGGCACAGGTTGAGCCTGATCATCTTTGGGAGCAGAGAGAAATACAGAAACCAAATGTGTGGGCTATCATGGGCAGAAAATGGCACAATCTGATCCAAAAAATATGAATGACTATACAAAATCCACAAGATATATTTAAAAAAATCCTAAACAATAGAGATTCATAGTTGCAACCTTCAAGAGTAATGTAAGGCAGTGGCAGGCAGATCTCTGTGAGTTTGAAGCCAGCTTGGTCTATTTCAGAACAGCCAAGAAACCCTGTCTGGGGGAAGAGGACAGGAAAAAAGGAGTGAAGTATTGCCAGATGTGGTGGTGCACATCTTTGTCCCAGCACTTGGGAGGCAGAGGCAGGAGGATCTCTGTGAGTTCAAGGCCAACCAGGTCTACATAGGAAGTTCCAGGACAGCTAGGACAAACTACATAGCTTGTCACAAACATACAAAGTATTAACTGGTAAAGTCTGGGGGTATGTATATGGCCATTACTACATAAGTCTTTCAGCTTCTGTTTCTCATATATATATATATATATATATAATGTATGAGTACGTATATCACACACAGCTAATATGTAAATGTATATACATCTTGAAAAAATTGATACTGTATGTGTGTATTACTGAGGATTGAACTCAGGATTGCTTGAAAATTTTAAAAATAAAAAGTCACAAAACAACTTTTCCCTGGCCCTTTAAAAAGTCACATTTCTCAAAAATAAACAGCAACAACAAAAAAGTCAATTTTTTTTTTTTTGTTTTTTGTTTTTTGTTTTTTTTGAAACAGGGTTTCTGTGTGTAGCTTTTGGAGCCTATCCTGAAACTCACTTTGTAGACCAGGCTGGCTTTGAACTCACAGAAATTCATCTGTCTCTGCTTCTCGAGTGCTGGGATTAAAGGCATGTGCCACCACTGCCCAGCTGTCAATTTCTTTATATAAAGCTAGAATCCAGTCTCCTCCAGCTAACCTTCTGATTCTGACCACTGCAGACATGACCCCCTACCCCCATGTTTTTGTAAGCTAAGAGCAATAACATAAAGGTGAAATGCTGACATTCTTGTGTTTATCCAAGTGTAAGTACATCCTAGAGGTAAATATATGTGTGACACCAATTTCATATAGGGACCACACAGTAATCGATTCCTTCGGGGAGCCTCTGGACCAAGTTCACTTGAATCTCAAAAGGCTGAGAAGTGATCTGTCACACCAGTTTTCAAGCTAACGACTCCACATTATTTTCTGTTGTTTGTGGGTTAACATATGTGTACTAAAGCATGCACAGACCCTAAATAGTTTTGTTAGGATGCAGTGACACTATCATCCAGCTCCAGTGTCTCTAATATACAGTCCCAAAGAGTTTTTTTCTCCTGGGATCTAATACAGCATCATTTCACAGATGGACAAGGCAGCCTTCAACACTTGAATTCAGTATAACCATTTAGAACTCGTCAAGTAATAGCAGTTATGAGTCACTATTTAAAATCACTCAGCGAGTGCAAGGTGAACGGATGGAAAGACTACACATACTTGAAATCTTCTGAGTGAAGGTGAATGTCTCCACGTGCCCTTCCATGGCATTGTCCAAATGGTGCTTTTCTTCTTGGAGGGCCATCCCGATCAAATGCAGCACCTCAAGCAAAAAGTCTCATGTTTAGAAAATAAAAAATAGAAAAACCAAGATAAAAGTATTTAAAAAAGAACAAAAATATTTACTATTGAAAAATGACAAGCCAGAGACTAAACATGATGAAAACAAATCTCAACTGTTTATTCAGTCAGAGGTCAAGTTTGTATCTTAACAGAGAATTCCTGGCAAAGATACAAATTCCCATTTCAGCTAGGAAGAGCTCTTAAGTGTGAATTCTCAGGGTTCTCTCCAGCTGCTGCTGTGACAAGCAGTGTATGTGTGTATGCAATTTCCAGCTTGTCTTGTGCCTACACTACAGCCTTGAAAAAAAAAAAAAGAAATCTAACCAGGTGGCCAAATCCAAGACTTTAGGCATATGACCCGCACTTACTCACCCTAATAATGTCTAGTTGTTGTCTCCACTGGGTTCATGTGTCTGTGTGTCTGACTTCATGTATGGCAGTGTACCATGTGCCTGGTGCTCCAGGAGCCCAGAAGAGGGTGTCAGATCTCCTGAAGCCAGAGTTCCAG